AGAGTTTAGATCTCACCAGTCATTCACCAGCGATTTTATATCAAGACACAAAGTCACTTGCTGTTCAAAGTATTGTGCCCCTCACCAATGTAAACCAAGATAAGAAAAATACTGTATATGATGTTTTTGGATTCATATAACTGCTGTTTATTACTGTTTGCAGTTTATTTAACTTAAGGAGTAGGAGGATTTTCTCAATACAAAACACTTCATCCTTCAGTTTATCAGAAAATTCAAAAGACAATATCACCAAATTTGGAGATACATGGTTTTCTCTGGACAGGCAGGCTATGAAAAATTGTTATCTGAAATGTAATTAGTAACAAACGCTGTCAGACAAATACAGTGGAATAAAACATACAATATTTCCCTCTGAGATGTAGTGAAGCAGCAGCATAAAGTTGCATAAATTGGAAATACTCAAGTAAAGTACATGTACCTGGAAAGTACACATAAAAGCACATACATACTAATTTCCACTTCATTAAAAAAATTCTCTAGGTTGGGTTTAGTGAAAAATAGTACAAAGAAAAACCTTTTGACATTTTGACAGTGTACAAAAACATTAGATACATGGCTTAAATATTTCTCATCGGAACAAATCAGCCTCAATAAATGAGACTTGCACAGACCAATACAAATATTTTTTAAAACATATTTGTATTTGTTAAAAAATAGCCTGTGAATCACATGTCCTCAGGGTGTGTTATAATGCCGGTGTCAGCCTTGGACTGTATCACCTTCTTTTAATTTAGGCATGAAAGTAATTAAACGACCCAAAATGTCATACACATTCGCTCTCAGTCACTGTGTGGCAATGGCCCATATGGTAAGGTCAAGTTTAAGTATCATTCTGAAGAACTTACTCTTAGTTATATCCACCACATACAGCTTGTATGTGACATTACATCATTCAGCGCATTGCAAAATGCTGCATGTTTTGTTTTTCTGAGGGAAATCTAAGGAGAACAAGAGCCATGGGTTGAAAGGGTTACTACAGTAAGCCAGAGGTGGATTCAGTGATTTGGGGACCCTAATCAAAACCAGGCATGGGGCCGCCCTCGTGTTGGTTCCCACTCTTTCTATGCCACAATCATTTACTTAGCGTTTCCTCGGGCTTCATACACTAAAATAGTTGTCTGCACATTCACAAAACCTCAGTGGGATAAGCGCTGACAGGATCTGCTCACTTGACCAGCCAGGGGTGGAAAGTAACTGAGTGCATTTACTCAAGTACTGGGTTTTAGTACAATTTTCTGTTTAATACCACTATACTTATACTCCATGACATTTTACAGGGAAATATTTAGATTTTACTCCACTTTAATTTAACAGCTGCATATAAAATAAAGAGTTGTTTTTCTATTATCTAAACATTATCGCTAATAGGCGCCCTGTGTTCATGTATATATGGAGAAGCATGACCAAGGTTGCACTCGGGGCCAACGGGTACAAAGAGTGGAATCCATATTTAGACCAGGTGATGACCAACATAATCACCAATAACACCTGAGACAACTCATAAAGCTGAGGCAGGCCAAGAGGTTTAAAGCTTTGGAAACACAGGGAGTTGATACATTTTTCAAAGTCAAAAAATTATTTCTATGTTATGGTACTCCTACTTTTACGGGAAAAAGGCCTAAACGCTTCTGTTACCACTGTTTACATGCAACAGCATGCAAGCAGACAAACTGTAAGTGGGACACTTATGTGCATGCACGCACTTATTGTGTGTTAGAGGAATTAGTGTTTTCCTCTTGGCCTCTCTGGCACAGTTCCCTTGGCACGTAGCACCAAGCGCGCTGATAAGATTGCGCCCCTCTGTCTCTGCAGCATTTCAAATATCCTGCAGTGAACCCCCCCACCCTCCACGAGCACGCTCAGACTCAAGAACAATGAGACGTTCCCATCACACAAGGGACATGGCTGGGACATGGACACACGTGAAGCACAACAGGCATGTTCTCCGAGGCCCCACCATGGAATGTGCAACAAAGAAGGCATGCAGGCTGCAACAATTCTGGGAAAAGTCATCTTATCTTGTAAAGGAAGTTTGGCAATTCATAGAAAGACATTTTTTATCACATCTGTAAAGGTGCAACGGCCTGTGAGTAAGCAGGCGCACCATGACATTTCTCAATTTTGTGTAACTAAGTTAAAATCTTTTGCACACAAAGACAAACTGTGGGCCAAATGTGTTACTTGTCGATACCGGGTAATGGTTTGAATCGGTTATCACTCAGAGAATCAGAGATATTCCCCCTCCTCTTGCTCATTGATCTCCTGCCAGTCCAGGGTTTAATGACAAGTTATGATCTCACAGATAAGGGAAATTCCTCAAATGCCTCCGATACCGCCCTCCCTCGAGATGGGTTGATAATGTGAACCAATTTCCCCACCGAGCACTCACTTATTTGTTAATTTCACTTCATGTAACCTCGGAGAAGTCTGGCTCATGGCATAAGGCATTCAGTGCGGTGTTGGACTGTAGAGGCATTCCTGCAGCAGGAAAGTAGCTTTCTAGTTGCAAACACAGACACAAGCCTCTGAATTACTGGTTGATTTAAGTATCTGATTGAGTCTTTGACTAGGCAGATCCATTACTGTTGACCAGTGTGACAACAGAACACTTAAATTGCACCCTCTGCTGCTTCTTTGTGGTAGAGCAAGAGAAGCTATGACATTAATGCTTGAATGAGAAAGTTAAGTTAGTGGAATGGTTTTTACACAAAACTGTATTTACTAAATTTTACATTGGGTGTTACACTAGCCTTAATTTAAACTGTTTCAAGCTGGGGGCGTGGACTTTGGAAGACATGAGCATTTACTACACAGAGAGGGTCTAACGAAAGACACTGATTTGTTGCATTATGGGAAATGTAGGATTCAGTGTTTTGCGGGCTTGACCAATATTTGAGGCTAAAAGTCAGAATGTCTTGGCTTCTGCAGCTTCAATTTTAACCATTTCTTTTTTTAATATGTCTCTTGTAAGTCAACCAAGATTATATAAGTGCAATAATAAATTGCCCTGTAAAATAATACCCTTTTCATAACGTAATCAGTAAAAGCAAAACATAATAATCCAGGGGTGATGAATAACCAAGAGAATTCCTTAAGATGGACGTGTGCATTGTAAGATTTGTCCTGATAGGGTTAGGAGTCTAATTCAGGCAATTCAATTCATTAATCAGTTAAGCATTTACTCAATCACCTTGTAGCCTATAGCAAATTGTTCCAGTGAATCATTATGTAAATAATAAGGCAGTCCAAACTCCCCCTGGAACTAAATCCGCCTCCCTCCTCCTCCCTTTTACTAGGCCCCTTCAAAGAATCTCCTCATATAAAAACCTTTTCACCTCCCTCCAGTGAGCGCCAGAGGAATGCCTGCCTTACCAAATTCCTCAGAGCTGTTTATTGGGGCTTACAGTGCTAGCAACACAGACTACCAAATACCAAAGTGAGAAGTCATTGGACTCAGACACAGAGGAGCAGAACGTCTGCATTGTTGTTATAGCAGCATGACAGCAAAAACAAAAAACACATTTCTTGAAATTTTTCCACTTTATTTCCATCACACAGTGTGTCCTTCATTAGGAAAGCTGTAAAATATAACTATTCCCTCCTGGCCCTTCAGTGTTGTTGAGGTTGAGTGCCCCACATGGTTGATATTAACATTCCATCAGCTTTCTAATGATGAAGACAAAGTAGGCCGCAGGGGAAGGTTCATGACAGCATTGGCATGGTGCACACATTCCTGTATTTGACAAGCCAGAGGGCCTCTGCAGGGTGGGTGGTGGTGGTGGGGGGCTGGTACTTGTAACTGGGGGGGAAAGAGAAGAGCTACAGTGCACACTGCTCTCCCTACTGTCAAGGATGTCTGGACAGACATGTACATATGTAGTATTTCCCCAGTTATGACAGACGTTCAGGGAGGATGGATGCTCCTTTGGCTCACAGCAACATTCTTTTCTCAGGATGTAAATGCAAAGCTCGGATCATTGCTGCATTCCAGGCAACTTGAAAAATTGGACTGTGCAGCATCCTCCGAGGAGAAGCGCAAAAGGTCTCCACTTAATGTCAGAATTCCAACAAGTAACACAGGTGCAATTCAGCAACCGAAAGCCAGTTATGTGAGGTCACACAGAAAGCCAACAATTTCCTATGGCCATTTTAATCTATTAAAAGCACATAGCATAAAATATACTGGGCATCTCTTTGCATTACGTCGGATATAGCGATGACTTTCTGAAACAATTTGCAAACAATTTGGATGAACTCGTAGCAGTAAATACATGTTGGGGCTTTGACCGTTTCAGATGCCAAACACCATGACTCAAAGTTAAGGTGGTGTGTCTCACCCGCTCAGACAGCTAAGCGTGTTGTAGTCGGTGAGACCTAGTTCACAGAACTGTGAGGATTTGCCGCTTTTTCTTGTCTTAAATTATAGTAAACCGGGTTTTAGATTATCTGTGACATTGTAGAAGGCATTTTGTTTTACTGATTTCTGACAAAAATTGTAAGGTGCAGCCCTAAGGCTAACAATTCTAGTGCAAAGTAAAGCAAATCCTTACAGTGCGAGTAGTAACTTTTTCTCGGACACATGTATGAACATATTCTGGAGCCCGTTTTTAAACAGACTAATAGTGGTGTAAAATGGTAGTGTAGTTTGTTTGCCTTAGAACATGAACAGTCAGCTAAAGTCTTTGGGCTGTGTTTAAATGCAGCTTTTATCACAAGACGCGAGGTGATGCAAAGCCTTTAATCAGTCAGCCTTTGTCAGCACTCGCTCTTTGAGAAAAGCCCAACGTGATGGGACAAAAGCGTTCCCCTAGCGGAAACATAAATGCTGGAACACTTCTTTGAGCTTCTGCACAGATAAAATAAACACATGATGAACAGAATCAGAAGAATCACAGGTGACAATCTGAGCTGCTGTCATACGTGTAACCTCATACAACTTGTCCTTCACAGTGGGGATGGAATTTATAAATTACAATCACTTCTTTTGACAGTTCTTATGAAACTCAAAGCTCTGCGCTGAACTTAAATTTGCAAACTGTGTAAAAATGTAAATATATGTTACTTAAATTCAGTCACGTGAAGCACACCCCACACACAAATGTCACTCTCCAATAAAAACAGTCTAATAAAGTACAAGAACGTAGTCTTCGGCACTGCTGTTTAAGGCACCTTTTTCCACATTTATTCCACCTTACTCTGTCACTGACCCTTCTGTACTGAAGTCTGGGCAGGCTCGGGCGCTGAGCCACTTGGCAGGTATTTGGACACGGTCTTGACATTGTCCTCGCTCATACCCTGGATGTGGGTGTCCAGTCTCTGGAGCAGCTCCGTGGACCGTAAGCGTTCTTCCTCCAGGAAACGAGAGACCATGCTGTCTGCAGGTGACACTGGCGAAGGCTCCTGTGAGAGAAGAAAAACACACAACTGTGGGATTCTTTGCTAAAAAGAGGACGGCAGAAGGTTTTACCACAACTGCGGACTTGTTTGATTATCTGTGACGAGCCTCACCAGTAGAGAGGGAGAGGATATGATGTTTTCTCTGGACAATAAGGTCAGAGAGTCTTCGGAGCTGGAGCTTTGTCCCTCAGCAGTGGATTCATTTGAACTTATGGTTTGCACAGAGTTAATCCTGGTGAGTCTTATGCTACCAGAGGAGGAGGATGCTGATGAATGAGGCCTGCTGTCTCGGGCCTGACTGCAGGGGTGCTCTCCGGGGGACTGGGACAGGGTGTGCAGCTGTTTAAAGAGCCTATGGATCTTCCCTTCGTAGAGAGTGGCGTTCCCCTGCAGCTTAGCTTTCGTCGCCTGCACCTCCTGCCTGTGTTTGCGATGTCTGGCATCTTCATTGCTACAGAAAGAAAAACCCCAAGAAGTTTCATGAAGGCTCCGTTTCTTGATCTTTTGTGCATGTGTGCATGTGTGCGTGCCCGGTACCTGTCCTGAGCAGGCTGTGGTTGGTCAGTCATGGCGTGGCTGAGCAGAGCTTGTTCATATTTGTCTTGACACGTCAGGTTGGAGACCTCAAGTCGGGAGCGCATCTCAGCAAGTGCCTGCCTTAGCTGCCGATTCTCTTGTTCCAGGCGGCTCAGAGATGACACATAACTCTCCCTCAGGGATGCAAGCGAGTAATCACCCCCCTGTGGAGAGCAAAGTGAGTCAGGGAGTGAAAAGCAGTGAGAAGAGATTAGTCAGATTTAGAAACAATACTGAAGTCAAATAAACCGTCTGCTGTGGTCTGTAAAACTGCGTAATGACTACATAACTATGTCAAAGAAAACAAACCTTAGGTGACTGAGACTCCAGCCTCTGCTGCAGACCCCTCAGGTGCTGGTTCTCACTTTGTAGAGTCTCGACCTGTGCCTGGGTCATCTGAAGAAAGTCGGGGGAAGAACAAAAATGTAGGCGCATGATGCAGTTTTCCTCAAACCTTCAAGACAAGGAGTTAATACCAAGAAAATCAGAGGTATTCTCAGGAACTTCAGAAGTCTAAAAAGGTCTCTTGCCATACAACTATTAGATTAAATGAGTGCTGTAGAAAATGTATCACTTAAAATAAGGTATTTGCACAGGGCTACACCTGATTTCTTGCTTACTTTCAGCTCAGCTGCCTTCTGTTCTGCTCGCCCCACCTCATCACGAAGCTGCTGCTTGATGCTGGACGAAGAGCCGTTCAGTGTGGCGACGGCGATGTCACGTTGGTGCAGCTCAGTGGTCAGCTTTGACACCTCCTTCCTCATTCCTTCCACCTCACCACTGTGAGTCTGCTTGGCCCTTTGGAGCTCTTCTCTGAGCTGTAGAATGAACCCGGAGGAGTGAGAATATAAATGTTTATAGGGCACTACTTCACACAAATACAGCATATAGCTCAAAAACTCCCACGACATAACAGCCAGAGACACTTCCTGACCTTTTTTATTTCAGCAACAGAGGAATTATATTCCGCTTTAATGCTCTTCAGTTCCTCCACCTTAGATTGGTCAGCTCTCTGTAGGCTCACTCTCTCCAGTCTGAGCAAATCACAAAAACACCAAAAAGGTAAAGCGAAAAAAATTTCAAGACACACAGAAGCACAAATAATAACAGTGTGGGTGTTTAAAGAGGCAAGCATTCACCTCTCTTTGAGACATGCCAGTTCAGCCTTGAGATGAACCTCACATGCTTGGGCGCAGTGGAGCTTGGTTGCAGTCTTCTCCAGATCTTGTCTGAGGGTTTCCACGCCAGCACAGCCCTGAGCCGCCAGACAGTCCTCCAGAGAGCTGAATAAACAGGAGAGTTGGGCTGTATTGACTTCTATAAAATCTCTTTTCATACAGCACAAAGGCACTGAAACTGTGCAGCCTTCCTACAACATCAGTATAGCACGCCCTCGTGTGTGTTGTTGCTGTATTACATCATTGCGTGACGGCTGAAAACGCATTGTTTACAAGGAGAAATCCACCTACCGAATGACTTGATCTTTAGCTTGTAGTACTTGGTTGAGTCTGGCAGCTTCATTGCGGAGCCTCTGCCGCTCAAGACTGGCTCTTCGCACAAATGTATCCCGGGACTCTATCGTGGTGTGGAGCTCCTCCCTTTCCTCTGAAAGGACCTGTGGAACAGCAGAGACGCTCAGCTGAAAAAATCATATTATAACCTCCTACAAGGCGGCACAAATCTACTGTTAAACAAGGTCGTTGTTAGCTTTTGTGAGCTCTTCTCCACATTATGCCAGTTTCCATGATGTTGCTGAATAGTCTTGGAAAACACGAGATCCTCTATTTTCATCACTATTTATTTAAAGCTACCAGGACAGAGTAACACACAGCCTGATCAGGGATGCACTCTTATAAGGGTGTGCACATGTGCAGCGGCCGCTGATTGGAAAGATTGTTAAAATTATTTTTTTTTGGTGCATTAATGCAAAAAAGAAGTGTCTCATATCTGATGGTGCAATGGGGAAGGCCCTCAGTAAAGCAAATAAACTTTTACCTTATCTTTCTATACATGTGTTAAAACAAAGGGAAAAAATGGTACCCAAAATATGGGATGGTAAGGGACCTCAAACTGATCACCCATTATGACTGTTGAGATGCTTAGGAAGATGATTTGGCCTCCCTAACTGTCAAAGACTAAAAATATTATCCGTGCAAGTTGGTGGAAACAATCTTCATGTGTCATTCTGCTAACCTGCTGCTCTCTCTGGTACTGTCCCAGGCACATCTCGAGGGGTCGGAGGCGTTCCAGTTCTAGCTCCTGTGAGTGCAGGCTGCCCTGAGCCTTCTCCAGCTGAGTACACAGACGCTGCACCTCTAAGCAACACTCCCTGTGCTCCCTCTCCTTTTGCAATGATGCCCACTGGGCCTGGGGGAAAAATGACAGAAAATATGTGTGAGAAATAGTCTGACTCCACTTTCCTTCAGCATTAAACTGTCTGACTTGATCTTACATGTTAAAGTTATTAATCTGCTTTTACTTTTATGTGTGCGAGCTCATCAGTTAGGCTCTCTTTCTGGGCCTCCAGGGCCGTCAGTTGTTTTTGGTACTGGATGCGCTGCTGCTCCCACTCTACAGAGCGCTGGTGATATTCCTGCAGGAAGAGACAAGGGTGCTTTTACTCCACATAAACAGTGGGTGGCAGTAAAATATAATCTGTAAATGACTGGTTTAATATAAGGAATAGAATATAAGGGGAATTTGACTAATATTGTTGTACCTCAATCTTTTCATTTAGTCGGGTCACCTCTGAATGGTCCGTGTCTTCAGTATTTGCTACTCCACTGGTCTCCTTGAGCTGTTTGCGCTGAAGTTTGTGGTAACTTCTCTTTAATTTATCTAACTGCAGGAGAAAATGTTGGTGAGAGAGGACTCTAAAATTAAAGTTCAAATTCAAATTCAAGACTTAAAGGGAGAGTAAGTGATTCTGCAGAGGGATTGTTGATATTTGAATTTTACAACTTACAATCACTTACTATCGCTTTAAAGTAAACCTTGATACTGCAAATCTGTTAAGTACCAATTTACACCGGGATTTCAAGACACGTTGAGGAACTGAAAAGATTTTTTACAAAATGTATACCTTAATCCACTGATGAGTAATTTGAAAGGCTGTTTAACAACTGTTCTTAATTGTGTAACTGACAAGTATCTCACCTCTTCACGGACTTTCTGCAGTTGTTGCTCGTACTTGGTAACTAACTCTTGTCGACCAGGCTGGGCTTCTTCCAGCTGCTTGCGAAGCAATCCGATCTATGATCAGGCGTCATGACAGTAATGGTATTTTAAAAATGTGGTGTAAAACAACAAAAGAGTATATTCCAAGTGAATGACTGCAAATGTATTTCCATTGCTCTCTCTGGTAAAAATGAAAAAGAAATGCCATCCTAGCTCTTCGATAACCCTCACTGGTGTATCTGCATCAAAACCTGTACAGTATAACTGTAGGGAGGGTCTGGTACTGTACCTCCAGGTCCCTCCGTTCAATGAGATTCCTGGAAGTCAACAGCTCCTCTTCTCCACTTTTCAGTTTGAGCTTCATGGTCTGAATCTCAGCCTCCCACTGCTGCTTCTGATGATTGATCATAATGTCAATCTGTCTCATCAGCTCCTGAAGCTCTGGCTCACATGATGACAGGACAGAGCTGGACCACAGATACAAAATATCAAAACATGGCGATGTTTGGATCCATTAAAATACCACATCACCGAGAGGTTGCCATCTCTGCAAGACCTCACCACCACTGGTTGTCTGTGTATTTAGCACAGGTTAGTTAGCTAGACACTGGCTTTAACCACAGTTTACATTAACTTAACGTTACCTTAAATCAGGATTCTGCAGACATCCCAGAGAAGCCTCCATCTGGCTGGAAGAGATGCTCTCAGTGTTTATCAAGTCTTTTTAATAACTTACTGGCTTTGTGGATACTTTGAACTTGCCTCAAGTGAGCTACCCGCTAATTTACTAACCTAGCAACCTCTGTGGCAGAATTAACGTTACCAGCGTTAGCTAACGTTAACCCTAACCAAGCTGATCAGAAATGACGTCAGCGTGACTTGAAATTAAATAACTGACGTTACATCAATTTAGTCTGGATTAACGTTATAGCAAGGCTAAGTGAGGGTTAACGTTTCTAACAAGGTTAGCACACGTTAACGTTGGTAGCTAACGTTGGCTAGTTTCAGTGCGTCTAACTACTTTTGTTTACATCAGTAACTGATTTCCTTAGGCGGTAACTCCACCTCCAACCTGTGACCTCAGCACGCTGTACGTCCACAGTGGCAGGTCAGATGGCGCTGTCCTCTGCATCATGGTGTTGGTTGAAGTTATCTCTTCCAAGAAGACCAAATTAGAATATTCATCCAAGCACATAACAATTAAAGTTACACGATGCTGCAGTGACGTTAACGTTACATCCTTTTTACATTTCGCATCGCATGCTGTAATGAAGCTTGTTTCCACTGTTATATCGATGGTCTGGGGCCAAATTAGCACTGTGCTTGCGTTGATTTGTGAAACGATATATAATCCAGATAATAATACAGTATAGGCATGCAAAACATTGATTTACAGGCTTCAAACAGATTAGTGTAATTCTTTATTAATTCTTATATCGCCCAGCTTGAACACGTGGCTCGTTGGTCTAGGGGTATGATTCTCGCTTCGGGTGCGAGAGGTCCCGGGTTCAAATCCCGGACGAGCCCATATTTTGGATTCATGAATGTAAAATCCATTAAAATTTCCCTATAATTTGGTTTTATTGCAGTGGGGCGGCTGCCCTGGAGCTGCAGGTTGCTGCGTGACTGAATTAAAAGATTCGATGTTGTTTTTAAAGCATAGCGTGACCATCCGGTCTTTACCTTCACGTTGGGGCTAACGTTAGCTAACAGCAGGTAGGTAGGATTAGTAACAGCATATAACCTAAGAGTGCTATGAATTTTTACACATGGAGTCATATATCACAAACATAAACAAAATAAAGACAAAAAGAAAAAATCCAACCGACTAAGTATTAAAATCCAACAATATGCTCCATCCAATATGGCTCGTTGGTCTAGGGGTATGATTCTCGCTTTGGGTGCGAGAGGTCCCGGGTTCAAATCCCGGACGAGCCCTGTTTTTTTTTTCTTTCCGGAAAAGAATCTGCTTGTCCAAACATCTAAATTTTTATTTTAATATGTTACATCCAAATTTATGATAATGTGCTTCACGTTTTCTATAAGGGAGCAGCAAGCTAGGTTCGTTCTCACTGTTTTCCTTTATCACCGCTCTCAACCTTTCTTCAACCTCGCACACCCCGTTCCTCCACCTGCCCTCTCTCAAACACTGAACAAAGAGCGTCCCCCCACGGCTCTGCTTCCCCAGCTGTTGGGAGGGGTTGAGCTGTGAGGACCGAGGGAGACGTTTCTGTCCCGCCCCCACAAAATATAACAGACACTCCTAACAGGCGGCAGACGAGCCGGCTCTCCCTCCCCATTCACTGCAGTGTGGCTGTGCTGTTCACTCCAAAGGGACAATACTCTCAAACAGGTCTGAAGGAGAACTGAGTCTATACTGTAAGTAGGCTTTACAGACACGTATTTATTAGTATTATTTAAACTTTTTCATTCAAATATAATGTTTAGTATATTGCATATTTTGTGTTATGGTCATCGATTTCAGTGTTATTTAACTCTCATGTTCTTAAGCTTTCTTTATTGTCATCAGACAGCTCGGTTATATTCAAAATATACACCTGACAGTTAGGCCTAAATAACAACATAACTAAAGTATCATCTGAGAGGTATCTACGAAAATTAAAATAAGCAAGATAAGTAATGTATTTTCAATTTATTTAGATATAAAAATTTTGCTTTTCAAATATTAGTGATGTGAAAAGGTTTAAATTGTTATCCGGCAACAAATCTAATAACCATTTGCAAAACCAATTTTTATTTAACAGAGAGAGAAGCAAACTGCAAACTTGGGACTTGCAGCAACCATCTACTTCAACAGCCCTTATCAGTTGCTAGATAGTGAAGTGGTTTTCATTGGGACCTAAAGGATCTAGATCATCCAGAAAGACTTGCTTGACCATGGTGCTGTGTGAGGACAGCGAGTGCAGCGTCTGCTTCTCGCCCTACTCACGGATGGACAGGATCCCCCGGGTGCTCCACTGCAGGCACACCTTCTGCGAGCCGTGCCTGGAGACTATGTCGCAGGCCAGGAGCGGGCTTGTCACCGTGGGCTGCCCTTTGTGTCGTCGGGTCACCTGCATAGGACGCGGCCTCAGCCTGCAGGAAGCTCTGTGGGTCAACAGCAGGCTGTGGGAGATGATACCAGAGGACGAGGAGGCAGAGGAGGAAGAGGAAGATGCACTGAAACAAGAAGCTGAGGAGGAGAGGATGGAGACTAAACAACAATCCTCCTTACAAGCAGAATGGTAGGTTTAACAGTGTGAACAGACACATAGGTAGGCATTGATACAAGGAAAAACATATACTGGATTACGGGTCAGTTTCTTTGTTGTTTATGGGCATTTTCAGGACTATTTTCATAAGCAGATGACATCTGCAAACAGAAAACTTTTTTTTCTTTACAAACTTTTTTTTAAACAGTGTGACACTGCTGTTGTAGTGCAGTGTGTGGACTGAAAATGTTAAAAAAAACAACAACAAACAAATAAATTGATAAGTGTCTCTTTAAAACCAGTGCTGAATTTGAAGAACTGGAACCTGCATTCAAGAAATTCCAGCCATACCTATCCATTCACACACCAACGTTAACCAGTGCATTTGTCCACAGAGCTTCTCATTAGCACCTCAGCTCTGCAGTGCCACGTTTTGTCTAACACAGGAACTTTTCCTTTCCAGTGTTTCCTCCAGGTCCGCCAGAACAAAGCTCAAATTGCCCTCATTCTTCAGAAGGTTCAGTTTGACAAAGCAACACCAAGAGACGATTGTGCCGGGCAGTAATGTGTAAGTTCTGACTTTGTGGTAAATGGCTAATAATAACAAGGAGAAATTTAGTGAGAATGTGGACTAACATTATTTTTACTTGTCTTTTTGAAGGGAAATGAAATCCTGGCGCAGGCTTTCAACTGAGGAGACTATTTAAGACGGATCAAGGACGATATGACAAGTGACAGCTCCTCTCAGGATGTTACTCTGGGATGGCAGGCGCCACTAGAATACTGGACTCCACCCGATCAGTGGAGGGAAAGTTGAGGCCGTTTGAATCCATTTGTGTTCCTGTCAAGACATTGTTTTGTCCTCAGCCAAAGATGCCCTGTCGCCCCATTATTTATTCTAGGCTTAATTCTCCCAGCTGGTGCTGTGGGATTTGGTTCAGCTGTCCCAGTGGGACTTGCACCCAAAGACCCCCTTGTAACAGATGGTCTCCTGAGGACGTTCCCTTTTTGCGTAGCCACTGCTGATCACTGAACATAACGTATTGTTTTTTTTTTCTGTATTTATGATAGCTAGTTGGCAAAGTATTTAATAAAACTATTTTTGAAAGAATGTTCCTTTGTCTGTGTTTTATTTACTAATTAATGCTGATCATGCCATGTGGCTTTGGGAGATGACTGTCATCTGAAAGAATCATGAGCTCAAAGCAAAGACATTTTCTACTTGACTGTGTAAATCATTTATGATACATTAACTATTTAAGTACCGAAGCCAGTCGGAGATTTGTGAAAAGCATAATGTGAGTATTACTTTTTGTGGGAAATGATAGACAACAAAAAAATATGTCACAAAAGACTCGTTCAACCATGAAAGCAGATTATAAACTCCTTTCAATGAGCATCTGGCAAGTATTCCATGTTCGATGATATTAGGACACTGGATCATTACTTTCATGGAAATGGCCTTTGTTCTATTGTGTTACCTTATGTGCACATATCTGTTCAAAAATATCCAGCACACACCATTCTGAGATGAGATGAGTGAAATCTCACTTCAAGGTCACTGTTGAGCATTAATGTGCTTGGCGTCTCAGTCATATTAAGGTCGTTTGCTAATAATTTGCTTGTTGGGAGAAACGCTGGCTGGAGCAAGAAATCCGTTAGTTGTCGGGCTGGTTTGGTAGCCAACTAGCTGTAACAAGCTGTCTCAGCTGTATGTCTGTGAAATACACTTGGTCATATTTTGATAGACGGGGCGTCAGTTTGCCTTTCAGCACCACTTATGTGTTCCCACGGCCCCCAGGTATTATCACAGTGACTGACATCACCTCCTCCATAATGCCAAACACTGAGTGTCCAAATGAACTGGCATCAGCAGTGCTGGCTGTCACAGCTGCAGTCTGGACTACAGCAGGAAGACAGAAACCCAGCAGAGAGCAAACAAACAACACAGGATTGTGAAAATGGCAACGTAACAGTTTCAGTTTCGCAATGTATTTACTGGCTCGCAATGTGGTCCTGGTAGTGCAGCTCAATTGGGATTAGGGTTAACAGAACAGGAAACAACTCCCAGGGCAGGTTGGCAGTGGTGGAAGTAGTACTCTTATTTACTTAAAAGTAGCAATACTAGGATATAAAAATAATCAATTACAAATTACAGTCTTGTTTTCAAAAGTTTACCTAAATAAAAGTATTTTCAAAAAAATGTATTAAAAGTAAAAGTACTTTACTATTATGCAGCAAAATGGCCCCTGTAAATGTCATGTTTTGTATATAAATATAAATCTGCAATAGTAACAGTTGTCAGATAAATGTACTGGAGTGAATAAATGCAGTGTTTCTCTCTGTACTTTAGGTCAGTACTTGAGTAAATGTAGTGAGTTACATTACACCACTGCAGATCGGCCTGGTAAGACTGACTAATGAGTCAGTTATCAGGTCAGGTGGCACAACATGTAAACATATTTTATGGGTGGAAGTTTAGTGGGGAGCAACAAAAACATGGCGCAAGACAGTTTCCACATTGCTGCCCATTACACCAAACAACAGTACATTCCTTTTTGAGTATGTGTATGTGTATAACAGGTGTTTTGAGAGTTTAATTAATGCGTTTTTGCAATATAGCAAATCTGCGACTTATCTAGGACAGATCAGGACAGAACTTTAATAGAGTGCCAATATTCACCATTAAAACACACTTTGTTAGTCAAGGCCTTAAAGTGACACTTTACCTTTTTTTTTGCTAATAGCAGTCACTGTGGCCACACGTGGCAATTACAATGGGAAATGCTAAAACATCCTGTACCAGTAACAGAGTGGAGAATAGTCATAATAAGCAAACTGACTCAGTTATGTCAGTTAATGTCTACGTGGTGTTAGCTAACATCGGCTAACATTAGGCACTGTAAGCTAGTGCACATATCAGACCAAGTAACATTGTATCAGCATCAGCCTGAATGTGTTGAATTAAGCAACACTGTGTTTTATTGTTTATGAATTCAACTTTCAATTTGTAAGATTAAGAATTTCTATTCTTTTTTTCAAATTCTTTATAGTCTTGCTATATTAAGGCCTTGTCTGTAGTGGGGGTCCAGTGTCAACGTGTAGTTTTAAAATTTTAATATTTCCGTAGATATTATTCGTTCATACTGTGTAATCTTCAACAAAGAAGCATTTACCAAACATTTCAAACAGGTAATTCCAATGACAGGTATTGCCATTAGTCATCGACAGGAACTGGGGATATTTGTTGTGTCAAACTAGAAACCATGCATGCCACAACATGTACAAACACTGACACAGCTATTGCTTCATACCTGATTATTAGTGGTTCCCGTAATATTGAATTGTTATTGTTTTGCTTGGTTCGATCACGTCTGTAATCTTACCTCGACCGATTGCTGTGGCAACATTTTGCATAGCTTTATCAATGTCATGTTACTTAGTATGTGATTTTACTATCTTTTCAGGGTTTAATCAAACTATTCTCTGAATCTGTGCCTTGTGAAAAAAAGTCAATAAAGACAACAGAGTAGTGAAGTTAGAGTAAAAGAGACTCTTGGTGTGAAACAAAACAATAGGTGGACAGGTAGAAGGATGAACGATTGATACCTCAGATACTCACCCCGTTAAAGAAATGTTCAAGAAAAATGAAAGGACTTCTGCTTGACTTTGGTAATAAGACATCTTTATTAATCATTTGGAGAGACATGCTAGATCTCTGTACAGTGTGAATGGAGAGCCAGCTCTGGACTGATCAGGTCTGCTGCACAGAGCTGTGACAGAACATACACCCACCCCCACCCCACCCCGAAATGACCATGGCCTCCATCCTCAAATGCAGACCCCTGACATGCAGACATTCGTTGCATTACTTGGTCCATTTCCAGGGAATGTTTAAACAGGGCTTAAGGAAACAAAGGTGTACTCTACTTTAATATATAAGGGGAATAAATACAAAGGAACGTCTAACTGATTAATCATTTGTCCTCATTTAAAAATACAAACCCAGCTGAAAAAGTGCTCTCTTTACAAGGCTGTGTGGTTGGTAATGAGAGCAGTACATTCCTGTTTCCAGATAATAAATAGACAGCAACACAGAGGGTTGATACAATATTACTTTTTTTTGCATTTCGAGGGATTATAACTTGAAAGGGCAACCTGTCTTTGTCATTCCCAAACCCAGAAAAGGGTGCGTTCCAGTCATGATCTCCTGTAATATCTAAACCAACTCTGTCTCTTAGTATTTTATTATTATTATTATTATTTGGCTCATTATGTGGGTTAGAAAGGTTCACTAGCTTTCACAAGAGTGCTCACCTTTTTGGGCATGTGTGAACGATTCCTAAATGTTCTAATCTACTCTACGACACAGAACTCCAAATGTTTTGGAGATAAAGTTGTTGTTTTTTTAATCATGTTTCTAAGACTTACATCGTCACTCTAACTCTAAAATATGTTCTTAAAAAGTGCAGAACGATTTCACTTCAAAGACGAGTCAAATCAAAGTAGTGTTCTCAACACTGGCTGACCTCACCACCAGTACGTTATGATACCTGGCTCAAAAAAAAATAATAAAGAGAGAAAAAAAGAGCAAATTTTAACAACACTGCAACATTGCATAACGCCAACGTCAGTAGTCTGTTTAAACAAAAGCAGCAAAGAAAACCTCATCTCAGTGGGGACACGTTACGTGACAGTTTCTATGACAATCAGAAAGGTCTTGAATTAAGTGGCTGTACATTTACAATGAAGCTTTTCATAACTTCATATTAACCTGAAAGGTCTACATGTGCAAATTAGTCGTTTGTCAGGAATGAAACAATGCACTGATTTACAAAGTTAAAGGTCTGTTTTGGTCACAGAACCTGCATTAAAGTCTACAGATCACCGCACAGGGAACTTTGTGTTTATGTCCCGCTGTGACACAAGGCAAGGGCTTTGACTCGCCACTGCTCACTTACAGCATATGTGCAGACTACCGTAATCACAAACTACCAAGATATCACACAACGCAACAGCAGATGTCATATTGTTGTGAGTGGGGAGAGTCTATGACAGCAACAAAATGGTGATCTAAATGGTGCCGCAATGTGGCAAGAACAACACGACTTGGCAGTGGCCCTCTATATGACTGCATTCTAACGTTGCCTATACAGAAAGCATACATTTACACACACGCACGATATTCTGATGTCAAGTATACAAATCCAGTTCAACAGTTTTCATAAACCAAAAAGACTGGGACTAGTCATTATCAGAGTGCATTAAGTCACTGGTGTAATGTTACCATTTACATATTCAAACTTGTGTACACTGGTAGACAGTACCTATGTTGGAAAACTAGGCATGCATTACATACTCAAGATGTTACTGTTCAGTTTTTCCTGTAACATCTGGAACACAAAATTATGGATCCCACAGGGGTTATGGGCAGGAGGGCTGTGATTGGCCCGCTGAATCAGAAGGCTGCGTTTAGGCTTAAGATAAAAAAATGGTTATATTTAGGTAATAAGCTTTGAGATGGTAAAGTCAAAAATGGTTATGTTAGAGAAGTGTTCCATGTGGTTAATATTTGGGTATAATGTGGGGGAGGACCTCCATTTTTGCCTGTAACAAGAGTGGGATCCATAAAAATACCTCTGAAACCATCTGTTCAAATCAAGCTCTCAAATACAGAGCTTAGATGTTTGCATCTTTTAAAAAAACAACCTTTCCAGAGAGACTTCCCTGAATTTACAAAAATATACAAAAAAGAAACTGGGGAAACTTCCTATACTACTTAAAAAAAATGTTTCCACATATGCAACTTATGGGATTTTTTTTCACATCTTTCTTTTTTTTTTTTGCAAGTTCTAAGACTTTTTGGCAGTTTCATTAACAAAGTAGGCTACGCTACTTTAGAACCAAATTCACATATTGCTAGTTCCAACTGATGACCAGTAGTCAGGTGAGGAGGCCAGATTCTCAACGTGCAAAGTCAACTGCAGGTTAACCAATAGGAAGCAACATAACAAGCATGTGGTGTAAATGATCTTTTTCCAGGACGGTGCTGAGTATTAACAGGAACAGCCGCCTTCAGTAGTCTGGGTCTCCTGCGGTTTGT